CCAGCTCACTGATGTCATTCCCAGCCAGAGAGGACCTCCAGGCCTGGCATGGTGGCCAGGCCACACGTAGCAGTTTCTAGCCAGCAAGAGCCAGTGTAGACAGAAGAGGCCCCCAAGCCTGGCTGTGCCCAGCTCGGTCAGCCAGTTGGGACTCAGGTCGAACTGCTCCAGGTTCCCCAGGCCCCATAGGCTGCAGGGGTCCAGAGTGATAAGCAGCTTGTGAGAAAGATCCAGGAGGAGCACAGAGCCCAGGGTGGTGAAGAAGTCCAGGGGCAGCAGACCAGGTGGTGGTGGCTGAGGTGCAACCGCTCCAGGAAACCCAGGCCCCCTAGGGCTCCTCCAGCCAGATCCCACAGGGCACTGTGAGAAAGCAACAGCACCCACAGTCCCCACAGGCCCTGGAAGGAGCCATGTGGCAGGCTGAGTGGGTGGAGGCCCCCCCAGTCCACCACGCTTCCTGCGGCTGGACAGGTAGGTGCACAGTGCTGGGAGCGCTGCCGCCAGATTCCCGAGTAAGGCCATGGCCACTGTGAGGAAGGAGTGGCCACACCTGCCCCATCCTTGCCCCATGAGGGGCTGGGATGACAATGGCCTCAGGCCTACATCAGGCAGTCAGATACACAGACCTTCGTGCCTCACTCCTCCACCCAGGCCTCTGGGGAAGTGTGGGCGTGCTAGGGAGAGGAAAAATAGATACCATTCAGGGGTCTCACCATTTGCCATGTCCCCCAACATGGTCTTATGGACACCTCCCTCCATCTCCCATAATTTAACCTGCTACCAAGGCTCTGGCAAGAGCCGTCACAGCCCAAGACCCCAGCATTTTGATCCCTCACCCCAGCCACCTCTCATTCCCTTACGCCTATTAGGATGAAAAGCAATCAGGGAAGGGGCGCCTGGGTGGCTCAGTCGTTAAGCGTCTGCCTTCGGCTCAGGTCATGATCCCGGGGTCCTGGGATCGAGCCCCACATCGGGCTCCCTGCTCCACGGGAAGCCTGCTTCTCCCTCTCCCGCTCCCCCTGCTTGTGTTCCCTCTCTCACGGTGTCTCTCTCTGTCAAATAAATAAATAAAATCTTAAAAAAAAGAAAAGCAATCAGGGAAGATGGTCTTTTAAACCCCAGCACCCCCTCTTTCCTCTCACTCCGTACCCATCCCCACTTATTTCCCACACAGCCCGGGAGCAACTCTGCCTTCTCCTGCCCCTAAACACTCCCTGGGTCACTCAACCAGCCAACATTTGCAGAGTCCCTGTTCTGCAAGAGGACACAACCTTGACTAGATCCTGGCCTAATCTGGCCACTGAGGTCAGAAGTTCAACACACTCACCTGTATTCCTGGCACCACCTGCCAACAAGTATAGCCCCAACCCAGAAATAGCAGTGAAAAGAATCTCAGCTCTAGTTACCTGCCCTCCTGGCCTCCTGCCCCAAGAGATCAGCTCTTAGGGAAGCCATAGCGCTGAGGGTAGGGAGGGGGGGGAGGGTGGGTGGGACAGGTTGAGGATATCTCCAAGGCCTTGTGGCCATAATTATAACCAGGGGAGCAGGATCCTGCCCTGCCTTTCTAAGAACACCACTCCTCACTCCTCACACCATGGCCCTCTCCCTTTGAGCCCCACATCCTGGTCTATCACTTGTCAAGATGGCAGCCTGAGGCCCCTCGAAGGCCTCAACTCACCACACCTCACATCCACAAGTCAAAAAGGAGCCAGGTATCTTCTCTTTCATTCTATACTGCCTGTCTAAGAAATCTGCCATCATCTAGAATTCACCTAGGTCTTCTCTGGACACAAAGGAGGGAAATACTCTCTCGTTCTCACTAGGCCAAAGGTCAAAATACTCCATTCTGGCTTTTGAAGAGTGTCCAGCATTGCTTTCTAAACAGAGGGGTCTGGGGACAGGGTGTCTGTACCCAGCACTTCTGCCTTGCCCTAGGAGGCCAACCAAACAAGTTTCTTTCTAGGTTCCCTACTGTGCTCACTAGCCCCACCCAACAAACTCTTAAGAGAATCACAATGGCCATATTGAAGAGAAGGTTACCAAGGGCCAGGCATCTCATTAAAGGCTTCATTTAATCCTCAACTGAGACACTCATTTTACAGAGGAAACTAATGCTTGGCAAGGACACAGGGGCTGCCAAGTCATACTGCTCATCAGTGGCAGAGATGAAATCTGACATTACCTAGACCTGTCTGAATCCAGCCATGCTCTTAACCACAGTGTCCAAAGACTGTCCCACATGCCAGCCAAACACTTCTCAAAGAAGTTAAGGTCTACGGGTGAATCACACAGATTATCTCCAGAATGGGAAGAACAGCTGAGCCATCATCAATCAGACGTGAGCCCCTTTGAATTAGTTCAAGTGATCTGGTTGAAGAAAATTATAGTGAAAATTTTGAAAAATCATTGTCAATAATCTTTGAGGGGTGCCTGGCTAGCTCAGTCGCTGGAGCGTGTGACTCATGATCTTGGGGTTGTGAGTTCAACCCCACACTGGGTGTCGAGATTACTTAAAAAAATAAAATATTTTTTAAAAAATTATAATAATCTTTAATGGATGCCTGGGTGGCTCAGTCGGTTAAACGTCTGCCTTCAGCTCAGGTCACAATCCCAGTGTTCTCGGATCGAGTCCCACATCGGGCTCCCTGCTCAGTGGGGAGTCTGCTTCTCCCTCTCTCTCTGCCCCCTGCTCATGATCTCTCTCTCTCTCTCTCTCTCTCTCCTTTCTCTCTCCAATAAATCTTTTTTTAAAAAACTTTTAAATTAAGAATAATCTTTGAGAAAATATTATAAACTGAAGGTTACCAGAGACTTGAGTTCATGAAAAGTTCCAATTTTCAAAAGTCAGACCAGTGTAACAACAGTTAACAAAATTCAGAAAGGTTCATTGAACATGTTGTATGAGCAGTTACCTAGAACACAGTGACCACTAGGTGCCCCATGAGCACACCAAAAATAAGTTATACTCAAACAACTTCAATTCCCTTTGTGATAGGGTAACTAGATGACTATCATAGATAAGCATCTGGATATTAAAGTCTCTCATCACATTCCTTGGGATAATGAAAACACAGAAGACAGTTTATATAAATTGGAATTAATACAACATTGGGATGGATAACTATTATATTATAGAATCAAGATTTTTTAAAAGCTCTTAATAGGCTGGAATAGTTGGCTGAAAAAGGCCATTTCACTGGAGAAAACAAGACAGTTCCCAGGCACATCTGTGTGCCCCTCACCCGGGGGCTGCGAGGAAACATCCTGAAGAGCAAGGACTAGCGTCCTGAAGACTTCAGCTCTAGCCACAGCTCTAGAAATGAGCTGCAGCTTAGAGGACAGAAGGACACAGTACCACATGTTTCTCAAAGCAGTGAGCTCCCCATCAATGAAAGTGTTCAAGTAGAGACAGTCTGTCAAGGATGCTGTAGAGAGGATGTTTAAACTGGAAGACAGGGGCACCTAGGTGGCTCAGCTGGTTAAGCGTAATGATTCCGGGGTCCTGGGATTAGAGCCCCGGGTTGGGCTTCCTGCTTCCCCCTCTGCCCCTCCCCCCACCCGTGCTCGCTCTCTCACTCACTTTCTCTCTCTCAAATAGATAAAATCTTTTTTTTTTTTTTAATTTTATTTATTTATTTGACAGAGAGAGAGAGCACAAGCAGGCAGAGTAGCAGGCAGAGGGAGAAGCAGGCTCCCCCCTGGGCAGAGTCCAAAGTGGGACTTGATCCCAGATCATGACCTGAGCCAAAGGCAGACGCTTCACCAACTGAGCCACCCAAGAGCTCCTCAGATAGATAAAATCTAAAAAAAAAAAAATTATAGGAGTGCTAGGTGGCTTAGTTGTTAAGTATCTGCCTTTGGCTCAGGTCATTTGATCCCAGGGTCCTGGGATCAAGTCCCATGTTGGGCTCTCTGCTCAGCAGGGAGCCTGCTTCTCCCTCTCCCACCGCCCCCCCCACCCCACTTGTGTTCCCTCTCTCGCTGTGTCTCTCTGTCAAATAAATAAATAAAATCCTTATTTTTTTAAAAGATTTTATTTATTCATTTGAGATAGAGAGAGAGCATGAGCAGGGAGAGAGGCAGAGGGAGAGGGAGAAGCAGGCTCCCCGCTGAGCCAGGAACCCGATGTGGGGCTCGATCCCAGAACCCTGGGATCATGACCTGAGTCAAAGGCAGACGTTTAACCATCTGAGCCACCCAGGTGCCCATAAATAAAATCTTTAAAAAGAAAATTATAAACTGGAACGCTGGACTATTCCCTATGAGCTGCAACATTCCTGGTATTTCTAAGTCAGGATATCTGTGCTGAGCTTCTTTTTTTTTTTTTTTTTTTTAAAGATTTTATTTATTTATTTGAGAGAGAGAATGAGAGACAGAGAGAGAGAGAGAGACAGAGGCAGAGGGAGAAGCAGGCTCCCCGCCGAGCAGGGAGCCCGATGCGGGACTCGATCCGGCGACTCCAGGATCATGACCTGAGCCGAAGGCAGTCGCTTAACCAACTGAGCCACCCAGGCGCCCCTGTGCTGAGCTTCTGATACCACCTGGGCCATCCCTGGCCCTGGAAGCATCCTCCATTTGCACACTGTTCACATACTGACTTCTGGCTTATCCTTCCCATAGCAGGACACAAGGATGACAGCAGGACACTTTCAGAAAGGCCAATCTGAACAAAAACCAAAGTGTATCTGAGGCCAGCCTCCATCTGTAGGGGTGAAGGGTCCATTGCTATAATCATTCCCTTGCAGATATCCACAGCCGAATTCCCTTCTCCCTCCAGAGCGCACAACCTGATGAACACCCTCGGTTGCACCCAGCTCTCCAACTTCTGCGTCTGCACCTCAGCCACTTGATGGGACTACCACAAAGTCACAAAATGGGCATCTCGTTACACCCTCAATGCACAAGTTCAGACCTCAGCAACCATGCCATTTCTCCCGTTTACTGAACCACTGGACACATACTCCTTCACCCTCACCTCCCTGTCAAATCTACGAACTCACCGGCAACTGTGCGGTCTTCTCTTTCCTTCCTCTTTATAGTGGAAGAAAGGCTCCCCCTCCCATCAGAAGCCAAAACATCTGTGGCCATGGATCTCGTCTCCCATCTTCTGGAGTTCACGATGAGGTAATAACTCCTAAACATCCAGCTCCAGCCCAGTCCTCCCTGCTGAACGCCAGGGTTGTCATCCACCTGCCCACCTGCCATCTGCTCTTCAGGGCTTCACGGGTAAGACAAACATGGCAAAATAAGAATCTCGATTTTTCCACAGACCTCTTCCTCTCTCATTGTTCGCCATCCACACGGAAGCTGCTCTCGGTTCCTCTCCCCCTCACCACCTCGGCCTCAAACCTTCTCCATCAGCAAACCCTGTCAGTTGTGAAGTCACTCATGTCACCACCATGCCCTGCCTAGATGACCGCAACAGCCTCGGAATGCAGCGGTCTGTTTCCACCTTTGCCCCCTGACAGACTAAAGCCCTCGACAGCTTCCAACCCTCAAACTGCTCCCCACTGTGCCAAGAACAGATTCCAATCCCTACAATGGCAACAAGGCCCTGCGTGATCCGGCTCCGGCTCATGAGGCTTCAGCCACCTATCTTCTAGTGGTTCCTAAAAACCTCAAGCTCTTAGCACTCTCAACTTAGCACCTGCTGTTCCTCCTATCCAAGCACTCTTGGCTGGCACCTTGTTCAGATTTCAGCTTACACGACACCTCAAGGGACCATCCGAGAATATTCTCTGCAGAGCAGTACATGTACCTCCCCACAGTGAGCATGAGCAGCTCCTTGAAACTAGGAGAGAGACCAGAATAAAGGGGGCCAGATTCGAAAAGAAGCCTCGTTAGTCCCTCCACTAAAACGAACTGTGGGAGTCAGCATAAGGGGTTAATGGAGAGGTTAGTTGAGAAGTCACTAGAAATATGCCTCACCCTCACCTTACTTTACCAGTACAGGAAGAGATTTAGTTCCCCTTTAGACTTTTCAACAAAGTTGAAAATGACAGGAAAATGGAACAGGGAGGCCACAACCCAACCAGGGTTGGTCCCAGCTGCCAAAGTATGCTCTCAAGAAACCTGAGGAAGAGCTCCGTTGCTCCCACCTTGCTCTTCATCTCCCATGTGCTTTCCTGATCCCTTGTCCTCTTTCTAAGCTTAACCTTGAGATTAAGCTCAAATCCCACTCCATCCTGGATTGCTTTTCATCTTGACTCAGGCAACTCATCTAGTTATTAAACTTCTACCTTCAGTCATACTCAACAGCTGGGTGCTAGGGAATAATACAAAAATGAGTAAGTCATTATCCTTGCCTTGCAGCCTCAAAATCCCCCATCAGATCACTCAAGGAAAACCTAAACAATAACTATAATGCAAGTCATACATGCCGCATGACATGAGTGATACAAAAAATTCTAGGAATCGCTTTCCACTTTGTCGAGGATGGCTTCACAGGTGGCTTTGAAGCAAGGCATTGTAGGATAAGACAGACAAGATAAAATAAGATAGGCTGGGAGTAATCTGAGAGATCGCCTAGCCCCATACCACTTCTATGTAACGATTCTAAGATGCTAAGATTAGAGTGCACTTCGTGAGCTGGGGATGAGGCAACCAGTTGGCAAGTTTCATCTGACATTGTGAAGTACATGGCATTGTCAGAAGTGCAAGGGGTGGGGAGAAAGAAATGTTTTAGAATCTAGATGTTAGCAATTGGGGGTGGAAGGATACGTTTGCCTTATTTTCTAGCTTTCTCTAATGAGCCATGTAAGGCTTTTATAATAAAAAAAAGAACAAACTCGTTTTGAAACTTTATTACAGGGCGCCTGGGTGGCTCAGTCATTGAGTGTCTGCCTTCAGCTCAGGTCATGTTCCCAGGGTTCTGGGATCGAGCCCCGCCATCGGGCTCCCTGCTCAGCGGGAAGCCTGCTTCTCCCTTTCCCGCTCCCCCTGCTTATGTTCCCTCTCTCGCTGTGTCTCTGTCAAATAAAGAAATAAAATCTTTAAAAATAAAAAAATAAAATTAAAAACAAAAAACTTTATTACCCAGCAGCAGTCTATGACCAATGGATGCCATCCTTTCCTCCCCTGTAAGGTACCTGGTGCTATTATGTCGAACCCCTTAAGTTTAGGGAGTACACGCTGAGGATTTTAAGTTTCTCAAAGGAGAATTCTTTGGCGTGAGCAGCCTCCAGCAGTGATGAGAAAGCAAACCCACCATGTAAACAATGATCATCCTCCAACCCAGATGACCAATCCCAGTTCCCAGACCTGACCCTGCCACTCTTCCCATCTCTACTCACCCTGCACATTGCAGGTCCTAGCCTCATACGTTCTCACCACCGTGTCCCCCATGTCAACAAGACAGGAGGTTCTATCCCTGTATAGGACTGAAAGATCTCTAAATCTTCCTTTACTAACTAGTAGGTCTTGTTGAAGAACAGATTGCGACACACATATTCTTAACTTCAAAAATATCAAGGAGCCTTTACCCTGAATCACTGGTTCCAAGCTGAAGCCCCTGACCGAATACTGCAGTGTCTGAGCAATTTTCAAAGCAGCAAGAAGCTCTTCACAGCACAGACTCAGTATCCGCTCACTGTGGGAATGTTACTTATACCCTACTGACAGCAGCAAACCCAAAGGCATGTGGCCACGGGGAGGGAGGTCATTGGGTGCCGGGGGCTGGAGAGGTCTGGGTGTCCTGGGGGAGAGAGACACTGCAGAGCTACTTGTATACGTGTCATCAGACACGCAAGCCCTCCGCACCACACTCTTCAATAGTTCGTGTTCTTCCAATCTAGCGGGCCATTTCCGCCACTCTCCCCTGGTCTGTGTCCCATCCTACACCTGGCAAACAAGTGAGCAGCGTACATGCAATCGGTTTGGAAGTCAGAGAGTGGCATTCGCAGCCCACGGGTGGATTTAAGCCTGGGGTTTTGTTCCAGCTCTGCCACCACGGGTAGCAGTGGTTCTCAGGACGTCACACAGCCCTGTGGAACCCACTCTCCTTCTGCAAAAGGAGTAGTTTTCATATTATAATCAAAGGAATTCCCCACGACTGCAGGGCAGAGGTAGAGGTGAGATCTGAGAGACAGAAGGCAGGAACAAGACACCCCCCACCTTTGCCCAACTGTTTTACGTGATCAGCCTCATTTAAAACGCCAGCTAAAGACAGACTTCTAAAACAAAGCCGGAGCCTCTGATAATCATCTAATCCAGGCTCATCCCCAGACTCAACCATCCCAGCACGAAGCTAACATTTACAGAGCACCTTCTAGGTAGCAAGCGTTTTAAAGATCTTTAGCCTTCCACACCAACTGCAGCAGACGGGTATGAGCTCCATGTTGACCGTGGGGAAGCTAAGGCTCAGACTGGTGAAATGACTTTACCCACATGAGGCAAGGGAGGTTTGGGGATTTGAGCCCAACTATTTATGCCTCCAAAGCCCTTGTTCTTTCTTCTTTACCTCACTGCCTTTCACACAGTCTTAACTCCACCTCTTGAAGTGCTTCAAGTTCCCCCATGTCATTTCATAAAGAGTCAAAATTACTCCCTACCAGAAATAGTTGGTACCTATGGTCTTCCACTCACAGACCTAAATGGGGAGGAAGTGATGGTGTGGATACATGACACAAAGCTTCCTCCCAGGCTTCTATTTTCCATTAATCACGTTCACACCTTTAATGGCATCTCTTAGGATTTCTAGAGCTTACAAGGTCTCTCTTCTGTCTCCCTCTTTCACCTTTTCCAGCTTACACTTCCGTGCAAACTAAATTGAAGGCCTGGTACTTTAAATCTAGCTGTGGCCAATGGCAGATAAAAGTACACTTCTCGGTCTTTTTTTCTTCCAAACAGCCCGTAACAAATGGCCTCATGTACGTGCCCACCTCTCTGTGCCCCTACCCCACTCACACACACCTCCCAACCCTGGATCCCCTTCTTAAATTATACACTTTGCACTCTATCTCTGGGTGAGCTCCAGGGGGTGGAAGGAGAGAGGGTAAAGAGTAGGAAGCAGAGAATCTAAAGGGAAAGATTACCAAACACCCCCCCCTTACACCCCCTCCCTCTGGGGTCTCTAAAGCACGTACAAACCTGAGACATGAGTGATGGTTAAAAAAATTTGGGTTTTATTGTTTTTGCTAAACAATACTAAAAAAAAAAAATTCATTTTGAAGGCAGGGCTTGAATTATTTAATTTTGATCCATTTATTTAATTAAAAAAAAAAAAAGGAAGGGGAAAGAGATCATGGCCAAAAAGATAGTAGTTAACCCCCACCCCACCCCCAAAGCTCTAGCCAGTCACATGAGCATCACCCACTTCCCACTAGGTGCCTGATATTCAGCTGGTGGCACACTCTGCCCCACTGGACTGCCCTGAAGGCACAGGGGCACCGCGTGCCAGTTTTCGGGCTCAGCAGGTTAGTCAAACCAGACAAACTGGTGGGCTAAAGTCCAGAAGTTCTCTCCAGGTTTTCTGCCCATCGGCTGAGCACATACAAACTATCGTAAGCTTGTAAAATTTAAGGGGGGTGGGGAAGGGCATTAAAAGCAGGAGGTTGGTGGGAGAAGAGAAACTATAGGTCACCCAAGCTTTCTCCTGGGCTAGTGGCTCTGGATACAGACTTCAAGAGAGACCGGGAGAGGTGGGTTCCAGGTTTCTTATGGAAGAAAATCATCCTTCGAAGAGAAGCTGAGACGTGCCATGCAAAAGAGTTCTTCCTGCAGAGGGCACGGGAGACAGGGCAGCGGACTCTCCCATCTAGGAGATGGGAGAGTGGTGAGGAAGTTCTTCTAGTACCATGAAGTAAGACAAAAGGCAGAGGGAGAATCCTGAGGTTCTGGCCCAATGTGAGACTGGTACATACACACAGTTAAAGACTAAAAAGCCATCAGGAACCCTCACAGCCGAATCCCACCTGCAAACACTGGCTCTAGAAGTGCTGCAGAAGATTCTTGCTGCGAACCATGTCAAGTTAGTTGCCTGGCTATAGGTGGGGAGGGTAATACGTTTTTATTTTCGAAGGGATGAGGTGGGAAGAGCGGCCATGATCTAGTAAAAAGAGACCTGCAAGAAGCAGAAAATATTTAGAGAACATTTTAATATATATTTTCATATATATATTTAAAGTTAAGAAAAATAAAACTAATTCAAGCCATGCCCTGTGCAAAAAAAGAAAAAAAAAAAGAAAGAAAAAAAAAAGACGAATTTAAAGTGAGACCTCTGTCTGCTGCTCTAGTCTCAACTTAAGTATCACAGTCAGCTTGTTACTTTTATTTTGGAAGAGAAGATGTAAAAGTTTCTTTCGATCACTCAGAAGGCAAGTGTAGCCACTTATAAAAACAGAATGGCAGGGACAGACTAGGAAAGTCAGAGGTGAAAGGGCAGAGCAGGAAAGGAATTTTCAAAAATAAAATTAACAAGGTGACTGTTCCAGAAGGGGGCTGTGAAAAGGACATGGTGGACCAAAGTCTGTTAGTCAAGTAATGATTCAACTTTTAAATTATTCTCTTGTTCTTTTTTGTTGGGTGTTTTGTTTGTTCAAGTCTAAGATTTGGAAATGCTGACCCTTTGTTAACAAGAGCCAACAGGAAATATAGGATCCCTTCCCTCCCCCGGCCTGCCTCCGCCGAAGCCACCACCACCGCCTCGTTGGCTGGATGCTGGAAGAGTCCTCCGTGTGTGTGGACTCAGGATGACAGGGCAGCCTCCTTCTGTGGTTGCTGGGCTTGTGAACGCTGCAGTATCTTTTGGCTTTCCACGTCTCTAAAATGTTTTTCAACCTGAAAGAGACCAGTTCAGCCTAGGTCAGAACAGGAGATGGGCACCAAGGCCTCCCAAACAGTTCATGCCAGGCCTCCACAGCCGGTCCTGGCTGTCCAGCTCAGGGACCACTCAGGCACTAGAAGGCCCCTGCTATCTGCGGGCCTTCCCGGCCGAAGGTAGGCAGCGGCCTCTTGTTTCAACCGCATGTGCTACACCTTCAGCTAAGACTGTCTAAAAGAAAGTGAACCAATAAGCTAAAACACAGTGTGAAAGGAGATTATTTTGACCCCAACTCCCACTCCCCTCTTCACGTAAGTGCAGAATGAAAAGCTGACAGGGAATTAACAGTATTTTAGACTTTTTATATCCAGTGTTGGTCTCTCAATGCTCAGAATGTTTTTACAAATGCGGCAACTCAATCGAGACAGTCACATGACATATGCAGGGTCAGAGACGCCAACAGCAACTCATTTATACCAACCAGCCCTTCCTGAGAAGAACCCAGCCTGGGATGAGAGGAACTGCTCAGGCGCAATACCATGGAATGGTCTGGCTAATTCCAAAAAGCCACACTGCCGAGGACATGGGGCTGCCCACTCACTTTATTGCACACTGCCCAGTGGGTTCCAGCCCCACAGAAGCGGCCAAGCCAGAGCCGCAGAGCACTGCGCGCAGGGGCTGGGGGACTAGGCAGGGCTGCTCTCGGGCTGGCAGGTCAGAGCAGGCAGGGATTGCAGCACAAGGTCCTGGCCTGAAGCTGGAGGGGTGAAGGCCAAGGAATCATCCTCTCTCTCAAGGTTCACGGCTCCTTTACTTACTATTTTGCGTACATGGCTCAGTGCACTCCCCTCTTTGCCTTTACAGTTTTCCACTTGATATGGGGGTGTAATAACAACTTCTTCCATGACTACGATGTTTTTTTCTTGCCATTTACAGTCTTTAATGCTGGAAGGAGAAGAGAGCAGGTGAAAGTTGCCTCTTGCAGGCATCCCACACCTCCTGCCTGATGAATAAATAACTCCAGAAAACTGACCCCAACTTCTCAGCTCACAGCTCAGCCAGTAACTAGATGACAGCAGCCCATAGGGTGCAGTAGCCAAGAAACATTTCCTGGGCACCACTGGCCAGGAAAAGCAATGACATGATGCACATTCATTCCAAGGAGAGCCCAGAAGACTTACTCTGAAGCATTAGAGACCTGGAAAACCATAGAAAACTTCGTGGCAGCCTCAGAAGTCCAATCCAAATTGAATTCAAATAAACAGCTAGGCTCATCAACTGAAGTAGCAGCCTAGGGCAGGGGTTGGCAAACTTTTTCTATAAAGAGTCAGACAGTAAGTATTTGAGGCTGTGAGGGCCATACAATTTCTGTCACAACTACTGAACTCTGCTGCTGTACCTACTACAAAAGCAGCCCCAGATGATACATAAGGGAGCTGATCTGGCTGGAGTTTGCCAACCTTTGACCTAGGGGGAATAGCACCTTTAAAAAGACAGGAAAAGAAACTCCATCTTCCTGTGATCTGCACTCTGCCCCCCACCTCCCGAAATGGAAACTGCTCCTCAAACTGGCCCCTCTCAATTATCAGACAGCTGGGCACTTGCCAGACTGGGAAAACCCATTCTAGGTCACACCTGGGGAAACGCAGGGCAGCTGATATTCCACAGAGCCCCTTCACATACCTGTAACTGCTCAGACACTCACACCACGGCCTCCAGCAGCTCTGATGCCAGCTGCCATCTGTGCACCAGACCCAGGCAGCTACGCAGGGCAACAGAAGGCAGCAGGGGGGAGGGGGTGCCAAATGTTTCCGTTTTTCAGCAGCTAGGGAAGCTAGTGGAGGGTCAAATGACTTCTGCTGTGACAAAATGTCTTTTTGGAGGTGGTAATAAGGTGGCCTTCTGCTCTCCCTAACTCCCTACGTACACCTCAATGTACAATTAATTAGAAAGAGACAGACACTAACTTCCCCTTAGTAAAACTGCATCAGCTTCTGGAGAAAGGTACAACAAGATCAAAATAATGAAAAAGAAAGAAGCCACGAATTCTAAATTCTTGAATACCAGTTCTGAAAGGGATCTTTAGGATTATCTAATCCCAAACCAAATTTACACATGAAGAAACTGAAGGCCAGAGAAGACAACTTGTCCACGATCACACCATTCTCCTGTACGAGAAAGGCAACAGACACCCACATCCCTGGACACCGAGGTGCTGCCAACACACTAACCAGCATCTCTGCTGACTTTCAGGAACACGACTACCCGAAAGCTGGCGACCACACAGCACAGCCAGGCAGCGTCGCCCCCGGGACAAGGGACCCCTATGCTCCCCCGACTCACGTCTTGTGTATGGTCTGGAAGAGCTGCTGGCCCTCTAGGGAAACACCAGCGCTGATTGCATAGGCCTGGCTCAGCTTCTCCTCCTTCTCTGTCCGTGCTTTGCTGGCAAGCTAGGGTGGGGGAGAGGAAAGAGACTCAGAAAAGCATTCACCTTCATTCTTCCCAACAGTCAGGACCTGTTGAGGAAAGGAGGCTGGAAAAGACTGGTTTGGTAGATTCAGTTTTCTCAGAGTCCAAAAGTGAAACAAACACACACCCAAGATGCCTGAGTAGTTACTGCTATGGCGGCAAACATTCCTTCCATCCAGGACTTACTGAGTGCCCACCACGTACCAGACATGCACTGTGCTAAGCTAGAGATACAGCACTGAAGTGGGGACTGGACAGAGACCACAAACAAAAACATAGAGTAACTTCAGACGGTGCTAAGGAGCTAGGAAGAAAATAACGCAGGGCAATGTTACACAGTGGGACGGGGAAGTGACGGCCAAAAAAAAGATAACACACACGTCTATGAAAGGAGAAAATTAAGAATTTTTATCAGCCACTGCTAGAGTCTCGGGTTTAGAAATTCATGTCTACGACATCTTCAGAAATCAGAATTTGAGGTTCTAAAGACTACCTTTCTGGTACCACTATCTGTGCTCACATGGGGAGCCAAAACTCAAGTAAACCTAACCCATGGATACAGTCCACCTTCAACTTGAGCTACCGCTATCCTGCTCTTTAGAAAATGGAACGGTCTGCATTCTACTTTACGTTAGTTCCTTATCTCCCCTCTAGTGGAATGCTCACAAACTGATCAAAAGAAATTCTAATAAAATCTAGTACAGTCGTTCCCCACTGCCCCTTATCCAGGGTCAACCTTGGTCTGGAAACAGATGATCCTCTTCCTGACATATCATCAGGTCAGGTCAACAGTAACCTAACGCTACATCACATCACCTACATCATTCACCTCACTTCATCTCATCACGTAGGCATCTTATCAACCTCACATCAGCACAAGAAAGGTGAGTAAAAACAATACAATGAGGTATTTTGAGAGAGAGAGAGACCATATTCACGTACTGTTATTACAACATATCGTTATAATTATTCTATGTTATTAATAGTTATTGTTGTTAATCTTTATCGTGACTAATTATAAGTTAAACTTTATCATAGCTATGTATGTACAGGGAAAAAAAAAACCTAGTATACATGGGGCTCAGTACTATTCATGGTTTCAGGCATCCTCCAGGGTCTTGGACTGTACATCCTGCAGATAAGGGGAGACTGCTGTACTGTAGTCTACTAAAATCTAGTAAATCCCTCCCAACAGGGGTGGGTTGCCTGTCAACCCCTACTGCCCCTCTAATACACTTTCAGTATTAGTTGCTAGAGACTCCAGAAGTACAAATTTGTCTAAGTGTAAAGCAAAACAAATATGCTGGACAAGATGGTTAAAATGAAAAGGCAGAAAATGCGTCTGAAAGTCAAACAAATGATCTGGAGATTGTTCAGGCCCACGAACATGAACAGCTTAGTATACTGATGCTGCAGCTAGTACACTAAAGACATATGCACAGACACACAAGTGAGAATACATAATTTGTCCCCAAACAACAGCTCCTTAAAATAGGGAGATCATACCTCACACACATCCCCAAAGTACCTAGATATTTGGAATTCTTAAACATTTCTATTCCGCTTTAACAGTGACCCTTCAAACCATAGACCAAATATAGTTTTAGAGGCAAAGTGTCTGTTAGCAAAACGAAGCACTTTATCAAGGCATGGGTTTGACTATGAAGAAGAGAAAAGGAGACCTTCAATTGGGTTATGGGGAGCCCTGCCTCTGAGTTTCAAAGATCATTTGAGGGGCGAGGGGTGTGAACACAGAAGAGAGAGGTCGTGCACGCTGTCATTTCAGTGTCCCTAGGGGAAAGAGGAAAGAAAGGCCAGAACTCTGCAGTGATTTGAAGCCGGAGCTCCTTTTTCACATGGTCCCCAGTACATGGAGAGAGACAAATACAGCAGCACTAAATAATCTTTCAAGCCTGGTCCTGCCATTCTGGCCCCACCAGGCTAGAATTCCAGAGAGAAATAAACGCACACGGCTGACAGTATTCCCCTGAGCCTCGGCAATCCCAACTGCAGCAAGAAAGCACTCAGTTTCTATGGAAAGAGAACCGCTGGTGGTATATTTTAAGCAGCAAAAAGCAAAACTTCGTCACCAAGAAAACCCTGATAATAAGGAGTTTCCTTGAGTCTCACTTGCCAAACAACCCTGTAGAAAATATGAAGTCTCCAAGGAAAGAAGGAAAAACCAGGGGGCAACAGAGCTCCCCTGGATTAACCACGCTCTTGCAGGGCTCCTTCGGAGCGCAAGTGACCAGGCAGAGGTTTACCGTACCCCATGAACAGGCATAAGTGTCTCACTTGGAGGCCTTTTTAAAAACGTTTATCCCTGGGCACCTGGGTGGCTCAGTGGGTTAAGTGGCTGCCTTGGCTCAGGTCATGATCCCAGGGTCCTGGGATGGAGCCCCACATCAGGCTCCCTGCCTCAGCGGGGAGCCTGCTTCTCTCTCTCCCTCTGATAGAGAGAGAGAGTTCTCTATCACTCGCTCTGCTCTCTCTCAAATAAATAAAGAAAAATCTTAAAAAAATAAAATGTTTATCATCCCTGAAAACCAAAAACATCTCCTGGTGTTGAGTCAGACAAAGCTGCTTCTATAAAGCTTGTGTTGACTAGATAATATGGGATACCCACAGCAAATATCCCGGTCACCTACATAGTAGATTAAAAATGTTAACATCACCCATTCAGTAAGAGAGGAATGGCTCAGGGAAACCAGGCACCTATGCAGAATGTTTAAGACGGAACTGACAAATTTAAGCTAGAAGAAGAGGAAAAAAGGCTGGGAGAGGAATCACTTTTGAATTTTTGCCAGAGGCAGAATAAAATGCATATAAATCTCAGCCAGAAGTGATTCCTTTGGACAGCCTGAGTAACAGCAACACAACAGTTAGAGAACAAGGAGTTCAAAGTACACTTCTAGCCCCCCAAAATACCAGTTGTACAATCCCCCCTAAAGGCTCTGAAAGCAAAGGAGAATAGACTAGATGATTCTCCATTTCAACTCATAGTGCACACAGGTCCCAAATGCTAAATGATAAAGTGCCTTAGAGGGGCACCTGTGTGGCTCAGTTGGTTAAGCGTCCGACTCTTGGTTTCAACTTCTGGTTCTGGCTCAGGTTGTGATCTCAGGATCATCGTGAGATCGAGCCCTGCGGCAGGCTCCACGCTCAGTGCAAAGTCTACTTGTCCCTCTCCCTGCCCTTCATCACCCTCTCTCTCTCAAATAAATAAAATCTTTACCAAAGGGGGAAAAAAAAAAAGAGCCTTAGAAAAGTCAACAGAAATCAGAGTAAACTGTGTTTCAATTCGCCCCAATATCCTCACTTACTGTACCTGTGCCTGCAATTGGGCTTTGGGGAATCTGGACGCAGCACAAACCCTGAAACCTCCAGCCGTCAGTTTATGAATTGTATGTTCATGGCAATCTGAAAAATGTTTAACTCTAACATTCAGCCAACTAGATCTGCTTTCACCAGGAACTTGTACAAAAGGGGTAAATTTCTCCCACAGAGGAGTCTATCAAGTAAGCACAAGGAAGGTTACCCTCACAAAAGGAATCTAGAAGTCTTCTCTCAAAACTGGGGGCGAGATTACCTTGCTCTTTTTAGGCATGTTCCTAAAAACTCATAAAAAATAAATAAGCCTCCTTTTGTAAAGCAAATGACTATCACTCTACCCTCAACTTAGCAGTTATACAGATTGAAATCCCCCACATCACGTTTTTTGTAAACCCATGCATATGTGTAAATGGTCCAGTAATTCCAAGAGAGTAAGTTTAGAGTTATTGTCAAACCACTAGAGGGAACCAATAAAAGCCGCCCTCAGTAGAGGTGTTGGGTGTGCCTTTTAAGCTTGGGAGGATTACCAGGATTGCAATTTTTTTAATTCAATGACTACCACCATACTGCATCTATTTTCAATGCAAACATGCTAGTTGCTGGCCTCTCTTCCAATCAAAACTGAAGCACTAACTGGTTAGAATCTCAAAGAATATTCAAGGCACCACTTTACAAACACAGAGTTCAGGCAAACTGAGAAGCACAAACCTACAAATATTTGTTACTAATGTGCATGTGGCTTAATTGAAATGACTGAACAAGACAACCTGTGCTTACCTGCCTCTCTTTTTACTCTGTATGAAACGCAGTGAAAACAGCTATTCCTGTCTACTAACTAGTGCTTCCTCCTGTGGCCATTTTATATATAGCAACTTGATGTGGGCAACGGAAAAGAGTACATGAACTTAATACCAAAGCACATCAATATTAAAAGGCATCTAGTCATGCCTGCCGTGGGGTAACCCTTGAATGAGTGAATGAATGCACACACCTCTCCTCCTACACTCAGTGACATGGAGAAAAGGAAGCAGCCAAAACGACAAAACCCAATCGATATGCACTTCATCTTGTTATTGAGTCACCAGCTGGGCCATCTTAGTCCCACACACCCAGACCAGGGAGGCACAGGTGCTGTGGGGAATCCAGAGGGATTCCTACCTCAAGTATGTAACAGGCTGTGACAGCTGAGACAACAAAGGAAGCTGAGTCCAAAGAGGAACACGCTGGATGTGACCTACTGACTCCACTGAGCCACTCTGAGTTTGTCTTCTGTGTGCATGGGGGCTGTCCAAGCAGCTGCCCTCACAGAACGGTGAGGAAGCCCCGCAGCTGCCTCCTGGGGCCTGCCGCCACTGGCCGAGAGGCCTCTGCTGGAGGCGGAGGGACCGCGGAGGGAGGGCGGACCACGGCGGCCAAGAACCACCGGCATCCTGAGGGCCCGCACTGGTTTCTGCTATTTCCATCCTGGGCTGCGCCCTCGGAAAGCCCTCCTTCCTAGATAGCAACAAGCGGGCTCTCAAAAAGATTTCTTCCAGCTATCAAATCAGTATCCCCAAGTCTTCCTGTTCCCTAGCTGAAAGCTCCTGTCTGACAGTTTCAATAAAATACTGTTCTTTACAACTCTGGATAGTTGGGAACTCCAAAAATA